TACCACGGTTATTACTGGACTAGGAAATTACTACTTAGGCATTGCTGTGCGGCTTACATGTCAGAACGTATGTAAAGGCCCTTTCAAGCTGCATGGAACATACTCGGTGGTCAGTACATGTTAGCCAGCAGTTGAAATCCTGACTAAGTGGCCCTTTCTGGCTCAGCTGGTAAAATTATATTATTTTCTTCTTTTTTTAGAACTGAAGGGAGTCACCTAGGTCTTAAGAGTTATCTCACATTCTACAGCAAGACCATGAATGCCAGAGGTCCCCTATAGATATCTGGAAAGCATGGATCTCCGTAATGGCTGGATTGAACTGCTCTCTTTCCTTTTTCTTTTCTTTTATTTAGTCTCCATCCTCACCTCCTTTCCCCAGTACTCCCTTCACCAGCTTCCCAAAAGTCTGGCTGCTTCGGTGGCTTATCCTGCTCTCTGAAAGGTCTTGATCAGGCCTTTTCTGTCCCATCAGCCCTCCCATTCACTCATACCTGTGTCTGTGACAGTGTTCTTCCCTAAACCCCTGAATTTACCTTCCGTTTCTCTGCTTCTGTACCCGGCAGTAGGGCCTCCCTTCTGCCTCTACCTGTGTTCTCTCCTCCACTGGAACCCCCCCACCCCCCGCACTTGCCGAAAACCCACCTGCTTGGTAAATCCTTGTTTGTACGAAGGGCTGCATGTGTTTATAGAATCTTGGTAGTGAGTTATCACTGTTAGATTCATAATTTTTTTTTAATGTTTTATTTCTAGGAGAGAGAGAGAGCATGAGCAGGGGAGGGTCAGAGAGAGAGGGAGTCACAGACTGAAACAGGCTTCAGGCTCTGAGCTGGCAGTCAGCACAGAGCCCGACGCGGGGCCCGAACCCACAAACTGCGAGATCATGACCTAAGCGAAAGTCGGACGCTTAACTGACTAAGCCACCCAGGCACCCCCATAATTTTTTTTAAAAACCCACATAAGCTGTATATTCCTATACTGTTTGATAGTAAATACATCTGTCTGTATTATAACTTATCCCAGCTCCAGAGGTAATGGTGACTGATTGTTTTGGAAGACTGTGCTACATACCAGGTGCTGTTTTTGAGCACCCAACAGTTAATTCCCATGATCTCTACCACCAACAGGATTATTCGTTTTATCCCCAGATATACTTCACTAAATTGTGATTTTTAAATTTTTTTTATGTTTATTTATTTTGAGAGTAGGAGAGGGGCAGAGAGAGAGAGAGAGAGAGAGAGAATCCCAAGAAGGCTCCATGCTGTCAGCTCAGAGCCCAGTGCAGGGCTCAAACCCATGAACCATGAGATCATGACCTGAGCTGAAATCAAGAGTCGGACACTTCACCAACTGAGCCTCATAAACTGTGATTTTTTAAATGTATCCACAGTAGGAAATCATATGTATGATTACCACACGCATACTTAGGCACACAAATATAGATATTGACTGTATGGTTGTTCATTAGTGGAATTAACAGAACACACAGGACCCATTACCGAGCCTGTACTTACCCATCCAGTCTCACCTGCCTCTCTCACGTTAGATTTGATGTTCCATCTTCCGATGACACTCCTCCTTTCCCTCACGGGGTTCTGGTGAGGGTTAAATATGATCTTGTAAAAAGCATTTGGGTCAGAGAACGTTCTCAACAACAAATGCCAGTGCTCCCTTCCCGAGGCCTCTCTGCCTTAGCCAGGTCTGTCTTATTGTTTGATGAGTCCATCACCTCTGATAGATTGAGAGCTTCTCGTAACTCTCGAAGCTCTGCATGCAGTTCCTAACCCAAGAGAGTGGCTGCATCTGGGGAGGGAGGGAAGAGATTGGGATTCTGGAATACTTTGTTTCTTAAACTGGATGGTGGGTCCATGAGTACGCTCTTCATCTAAAGATTGTGATAGGCGTCATTTGAAATATTTTATATTTCCAAGCAAACAAACAGAACTCCTATATACTTCTGTTTTACCAGAAACACTTGCTTTGAAAGCAGTTGAAATGAACAGGCCGCTGAATGTTTTTCCTGCTGGCCTCCGAAAGCAGGGGAGGGTCGTCAGGTCTGGCGGGATTTGCAGGGGTGAGGTGAAGTTCTTTGGCCTTAGACAGAAGGAATCAGGGGTAACTCCAGTTTATGCGGAGATCAAACACGTGCATCCTGTCTGTCGAGCTGATGTGGCCTTTCTTTTGTGTTTTCCTGAGCCACTTCCCTCCGTTACTTGGGCAATAACCAGAGCTGCGTTTTATCTTTTTCAATATCTCGGCCTGAAATGCTGACATCCACTGGAGGCATCATGAATTTTTGATGTGGTGATGATTGGAAGGCTGCTGGGGCCTCATTTCATTTCACTGGACTGCTGTGACACCTGTTTCCTTTTGTGTATTGAGACTTCCTCCTTGCGACATTCCCCAGTTCGGACCTGTTTGGTTTCATGAGCGCCCAGTGCTCCTGTGCAGTATTTGAGAGTGAGAAATACTTTGGATTTTCATCTTAATTATTGAACAATCCAGGAGATTTAAGAAGGGAAGGGTGCTTAAATTCTTGAAAAGAAAATCAACAAAGATATTTACTGAGACCTCGCTTCCTAAGCTCAACTCCCTGAAAAATGACAACCACGGTGGCATTTGTTGGGTGGGGACACAGAGACGAGCCAGAGGTAATCCCTGCCTCTCGTGGCCATGTGGCAAGGAGGGATCTGTACTTGCACAAATATGATGTCACATGGTGAAAAATACCTTCAAAGAGGCACAGAGAGTTGCCGGCAAGGAAGGATCATTGCCAACTAAGGGAAGGCTCTATGAAGAGATAGTGAACTAAGCCTTTAGAGAGACGATTTTGCTAGATGTGATTTTGTTAGATACTCACCGTTCAGCTATTCATTCAGTAAATACTATACATCTCCTATGGGCCTCCATACAGATCCGTGCCTCCCTGTCCTCTACCACAAAGGAAGAGAGAAGTGGGGAGCTGAGTACAGGCATCTGAGATGCGCGCACATGGAAGTGGTGCGCACATGGAAGTGGTGCGCCCCGTCTCCACTCGCACTTCTGTGGTCAGAGTGCGGCATGTTCCATGCCTGCTTCCTTCAAGGGTATAGAGACATGCAGTACTGCCCTCCGGAGCCTGCAGGGATGGGAACCTGGATACCTGCAGCAAGCGCTCATGTCTGCTGTGAGAGTCGCAGGATGTGATGCACAACTTTGCAGGATCACACTGGGTGCTGTACTGATAGTAGACTGTAGGTGAGCAAGGGCTGCAATAAAGAGACTTGCATAGGAAGGTTTTGCAGTGATCAAGGCAAGAGATAATGTCAGATGTGGTTGATAGCCATGGGGATAGTGACAAGTTGTCAGATTTTGGTTATATTTTCAAGGTAAAGACACTAGTATGTGCCATTGGGTTGTATCTGGGGTACGAGAAAAAGAAAAAGAAGAAAAAGAAGGTCGGGGACAGAACATTAAGGGTTTGCTATTAGGTGATGAGATTGAACATAGTTATTAGACATCCTAATGGAGATATTGAATAGGCAGTTGATACAGAAGTCTATGTTTCAGGGGTAGGATCTGGGCTGGAGGTGTCCATTCAGGGCTTGTCAGCTGATAGAAGGTATTCAAAGCCATAAACCCTAGATGAGATGCCAAGAGAATGAGCATAGAGAGAGAGAAGAAGAAAGGCCCAAGGCTCTCCCAGCATGATGAAGCCAAGGAGATGCAGATCCAGCAAAGACTTTGGAGAGGAGCAGCCAAGATGTAGAAGAACAGTGAAGAGTGTGATATTATCCTAGACGTCCAGTAGAGAGAGTGGCAGTGGTTATAATTTATGGTACACACTCTCTCTCCACAGTTCATAGCACTTCTTCAGTAAGATAGGGTTAGTCTCGTGTTACAGATCAGGAAAGCAAAGCTCAGAGTGAGGAAACATATTCACAAGTATCTCATTAACGCCTCTTATTTGCCAACTAGGATAATGGTCATAAAAGTTAAAAAACCGGTAAGATAGCAGGCTTATAGGTGGTGAAGCCAAACCTCAAATGTTAATCCATGTGATCCATGCCTTCACAATTTGCACCAAGAAATCATGTGCAAAAAAAATCATGGGGTGGGGGGGTGGCGCGCCTGGGTGTCCCAGTTGGTTAAGTGTCCAACTTCTGCTCAGGTCATGATCTCACAGTTCGTGGGTTCAAGCCCCATATCGGACTCTGCTGACTGCCAGTTCAGAGCTGTTTCTGATTCTGTCTCTCTCTCTCTCTCTGTCTCTCAGAAATAAATAAAACATTAAAAGAATTTTTTTAAATCATTTAAGGGGTGCCTGGGTGGCTCAGTCGGCTAAGCATCCAACTTTGGCTCAGGTCACGATCTCATGGTTCGTGGGTTCGAGCCCTGCGTTGTGCTCTGTGCTAACAGCTAGCTCAGAGCCTGGAGCCTGCTTCGGATTCTTTGTCTCCCTCTCTCTCTCTCACCCTCCCCTGCTCACGCTGCCACTGTCTCTCTCTGTCTCAGAAATAAATAAAACATTAAAAAAATTTTTTTAAATCATTTAAAAAATGCTGTTCCTCAGACCTGACGCTTAGGCAGAATTAAAGGAAATTGAGATGAGTTGCAGAGAAAGAAACATGTTAGAACCCATGGATTTTTCTTTCGCATTCCAAGATTGAGTTTCAAAGGAAAGTTTTTCTCCTTGTTCTCTGCTAATTATGGTTTCTTAATGCAAACACGATGTGCTTTAAAATGGGATGATAATCCCACCCCTCACCGGTGTGGGGGGAGGAGTCCGTGGGTCAGCAGGGGTGTAGGTGAACTGAACACTGAAAGAACAAAGAGGGAACCCCTTTAATAGAGTGAGTGAAGACATCCAGCACCTTGCTGACCACTTCTGGGCACATTCAATGAATAATTGATGCTGTATCTCTTTGCCTTCCTCGTAAGAGTTTCTGATGATCCACCGGTGATCAGAGCAACTCATCATTGTGGCAGATAGTAGCTCAGACTCCTCCCTTCTTCTCTTCTAGATCATGTACAAAATGAAGAAAACTATGCACAAGTTCTTGACAAGTTTGGAAGTAACTTTCTAAGTCGAGACAACCCAGACCTTGGCACTGCTTTTGTTAAGTTTTCTACTCTTACGAAGGAGCTGTCCACGCTGCTGAAAAATCTGGTAAGCCTTTGCATACATGAGTTTCAGAAATTACAGCCAGACCAAAGTACAGGAAGATCATGAAGAGAACAACTTAATCATCATCTCCCCAGTCCCCAGTCCTGGGGCTTCAACAGGGTTTATTTTTATTTATTAAAAAATTAAAAACAAAAAGCTTTTTAGTCTCAGGTGTGGAGTCATATTTAAAGAAAATACCGTTGTAAAACTCTTAGATCAGGGGAGATTTACGGAGCCAGAGAAACCGGTTAGCCTGAATTCCCTTCCACATTCTACTGTTTTGGTTTTGGTTTTGTTTGAGATAACCTTTAGCGACTTGTGCTTTTTTAATTAGTTGAAAGAGCTAATGTGTTTGTGTCAGACCTCCACTGGAAATCTACACTGCACACGTTATCCCTCACTTGTGTGAAGACAAGTGTGCATTTTGGTCCCTGACTTAACAAATAATTAACCTCCCCAGTTCCTCACATCATTTTAATTCCCTTCCAAGAAAAAGATTTTGAAATTTGGGGGATCCATGGTTACAGAAGTTGATGACAAGAAGAATCCCTAACAATTTGGGACACAGGGTTGGGGGTGGGGCAGTCTGTTTGCGGCACTGTTGCCTGGGTACCCGCCCTCACTCCCTGTTCACACGGAGAAGGCTCATTCTCGTGGCGCAACCACCCAGCCCTCCTTGTGTGTTAATTTAATCAAGTCTGTCTTCTCCAGAGTCCCAGGAGATGGAGGTACAGGGAGGTTGAACAGTCCCAAAGGAAAATGATGTCATACTTTGCAGAACAAGAAGCTCTCCCCTCCTCCCAACCCCCCCCCGCCCCGGCCTCTCAGTACTGCAGTTTCATCTCCATTAAGAACTCAAGCTCTAGATATCATGGCCCTGGTTAGGTATTCTTCTATGAGATAGGCGTCTGTGGCCTTGCAGGAGAACCTTGTCACAGATCTGTTCGATACCAGTAGCTCACTCGCTGACAAAGACACACTCGCAGAAAAACAAAAACTGCCATTCTGTGGTGTATTAACCTGAATATTTGGCCAATCAGAGTATCCTTTTTTTTCCTATCGTACTAGATGAATACGCATGTATGTTTGTCTTCCTAGCAGCTTAATTCTAATTTGTGGTTTATGCTGTTGAATTAGTCTCCTACAGTGACAGCTAATCTTAAAGAAAATAAAGGTTGAGAATAGAAATAGGTCTAAAATTGCAGAAATGTAGACCAACATGTTCCTCTACTTTGGGCTTTAACAAATCCATGATACTCTGTAAATCTTAGAGTATTTAAATCGCTTTTATTCAGAAGAGGGCCCTCATTTCTCCTTCCTCTGGGTGCTGCCTTTCTGCTGATGCTATTGCTCAAAGGCCCTGTGGTGGGAAGAAGGGAAGTGAAACAGGACTCCCACTATTCACTTGGTAATTACTGGTAACAGACTTGCTCAGGGAGGAAGTTCTGCACCCCCCCCACCGCCCCCAGGTGGGTGTTTTCACAGGGTCTAATAACCTTTAGTTTCCGGGACACCAAATGTATTTGGCTTCAGTGGAGACTCATCACTTGCATGTTTCCTAGAGCAGTCCATTCCTACCTTCCCTCTGCAGGGGGTTCCTTCCCCGGTGTGTGCTGGCCCCACAACACAGTTGTCACTCATGGAACTTTCAGTGTCTGCATGTGCTTACCTAATACTGCACTGGCTGGCCGCCAGACAGAAACCACCAATATTTATCGGACACTTTGATGAACCTGGTAATGTGCATAATGTGTAGATTTCTTTTTTTTCTTGAATGTTTATTTTTGAGACAGAGAGGGTGGGGGGCAGAGAGAGAATGAGAGAGAGAATCCCAAGGGGGCCCTGAGCTGTCAGCACAGAGCCCCGTGCAGGACTTGCACCCACAAACCATGAGATCATGCCCTGAGCCAATATATTAAGAGTCGGATGCTGCACTGACTGAGCCACGCAGGTGCCCTGATGTGTAGATTTCTTATTTTACATCCTGCAACAATCCTGCGGTGGTTATACCTTCAGTCCAGATGAGCAAGTTGAGGCCCATTAGTTCTTAACTTGTGCAGGCACACTGTGAGTAAGAAGACGTGAACCTGAACATTGTGTGTCTGGTCCATGGTCTCTACCACCCTACTCTGTTACGCTGCCTCTATCACACTACTGTGGTCATTGCATTTCCCTAACTCAACACTGACCTGGCTGGCCTCCTAAACAAACTCCAAGCTGTAGGCCTTCTTCCTCCCTGGCTACCCTCCTTTAAGGGTTAGAAGTGTAAGAAATATCTGATAGAAATTGCTAGAAGACCCAGTTCGCTTAATTAAAATCATTTTCTCTTTGAAGTTAGTGGTGGCATTCCTGACGAGGCAGCAGGTAGAAGAATCCGTTTGTAGTACAGTCGGTTACTAAGGGAACGCTATTCTGATTGAATAAAAAGCCAGTCCCAGGAGTTTATACAACCTGACAACAGTTTTAGCAGCTTGCTGCTTCCCTTTTTATGTTCTGCCGGGAAAGGATAGAGCAGACCAGATAGGCCGAAGCAGCCATGCCTTGGAGCAGAGGGTGGGCTCCGAGGAAGCCACGCCCCTGGAGGGAGGGGCCTCCGGGCAGCCTGCAGCACTCCAGGCCCCAGATGCAGAGTTTGGGGAGCGTTCTAGAGCTTGTTGAAGCTCTGGAACACCCCCTGGGAACCAGTATTTCTCAGGAGGCTCCTGAAAAACTTATTTTCTTTAGCTAGTGGAATCTGGAAACATTAAGCAATAACGGATACAGTTGAATTCAGAAAGTAAGATAAAAGAAGGTACTTTGATATTTTTAGACTCTCTAAATTGTATCCTCCATCCAAACAGTAAATACCAAATGTCTGTTGTGCTCCAGGGTCTGTGGTACATATTGGAAAATGTCATTTTCTAATAAAAGTAGTACTTAACAATGGGCATTTTAATAGTTTTTATTAAAACATCGCTTATTTTTGTATAGAGGAAAAGAAAAGGGTAGATTTGGGGGTCAGGTTTAGCTTTCTACTTTTGATTAATGCTAGTTAGAGAAAAACTTCCATCGTGTTACCTGTAAGTAGTCGGTATTGCAAGTGTATTGTGTTGAGTTTCTGAAGGGTTGGTCCTGAGAAAGGTATCCCACTAAGTGGTGTTAATTGTCTCTTCTCTGTTTATATGTTTGTCTTCATTTCCAGCTTTCATTGACTGTGGGACCTGGGATGGTCACGGGGGAAGTGATGTGAAAACCCCGAGATCCACAGGGATGCAGGTGTTAACCGGCTGAGGCTGGCTTCTGTTGTCCAGCTGCTGACTGCTCACTGACCACAGTAGTTGTGGCTCTTTACCCTGTGAGCTCGTGCAAGAGTCAACGCACCAAGTCAGGTTTTAAGTAACTCGCATTTCCTGGTGCGCCTGGGTGGCTCAGTCAGTGAAGCGTCCAATTCTCGCTTTTTGCTCAGGTCATGATCTCACGGTTCATGAGTTCCAGCCCTGCATCAGGCTCCTTGCTGACGGTGCAGAGCCTGTTTGGGATTCTCTCTGTCCCCTCTCTCTTCCTGTCCCTACCCCACCTGCACACTCTTTCTCTCAAAATAAATAAACTTTAAAACAATTTTTTTAAATGTTTTATTTATTTCTTAGGAGAGAGAGAGAGACCGCGTGAGCAGGGGAGGGTCAGAGAGAGAGGGAGTCAAAGACTGAAACAGGCTCCAGACTCTGAGCTGGCAGTCAGCACAGAGCCCGATGCGGGGCTCGAACCCGCGAACCGCAAGATCATGACCTAAGCGAAAGTCGGACGCTTAACCGACTAAGCCACCCAGGCGCCCCTTAAAACAATTTTTTAAAAAAGTAATTTGCACTTCTTCCTGCCCTTTGCCCCACATACCAGAAGATGGTTTTTGTAAAAGAAATGTTTCACCTCCTAACATAGGCTGAGAGAGGCTGTGAAGGGTAGTGGGTAAAAGTAGGATCTCAATCACTGCAGGCCCAGTTCCTTGGCAGGTTTATAGCCGTAGGCAAGCGGTTGAACTTCTCTCGTGCTAGGAGGGTCCTTACCCGGCAGTGGCATTACTAGTATCTGTTATGTGGTAGTGATAGGACTTCACTGAGGTCATGGAATTGAATCACTAAGCACAATACCTGACATGTGGAATTTACTTAACAAATACACCCTTTTATTATTATTTACATCTTCTCGTTTGACCTTTATGGCCATTCCCCCTGGTAAAGGCAGATCTGGATAGTCCTATCCCACATCCCATTTTACAGATAGGTGCACCAGATCTCCAAACAAATAATATGCCTGGGCAATAGTGGAGTTGGGGTTTGAGCCCAGGTCCCCTGACATGCACTGTTTCAGCGACGTGCCCCCCGACAGCGACAGAGTGATGGTGTTGCCTTCCTTTGTAGGTTGTGGATGTTGGTGGCCCACCTGGCTTGACTAGAACCTGTATGAGTAGTTATCAAGCCCTGTTTGTGTTTAACTTGCAAAGTTCTTTCTGGCTGCATTTTCCCTTTCATTTCCCTCATCAGCAAATTATAGTATACTGGGAAAAGGTATCAGCTGGTAATGTACAAACCTGTGGTCTCAGGACCCTAGTCTTAAAATGATCAAGGACACTGAAGAGTTCTTGCTAATGTGGACCATTTCTGTCCATACTTACTGTATTAGAATTTAAAAGTGAGAACTTTTGAAGTCTGTTAATTCGTTTTGTTGCAATATGCTCTTTGGGTGAAGTAGACAAAAAAATACAGCCTCACACAGGTCTGTACGTTACTGGGAAGGGAGACGAGTACTTTAAGAATTCAGGTGATCATCGGTGTTCTTGGATAGTGTGCCAAAACTTGACAGGTGTTCGTTTCTTACAAGTTAACAATATCAATGTGAACCTGAAACCACGTGTGACAGGCTCACTTTATTCATTTCTGAGAAAATGTTTGCCAAATACCCACGTCTGAGTACCACAGTTTGTCAGCCACTCTGTCAAGGGGGAAAATGGTGTCCCCCTAAAAATGTAA